CAGATACTATGTGGTGTGAATGGAATAATTATGATCTTTTGGAAGAAAAAGTGCATTGAAATCTATAAAAATTAGCAATGTCAGAATGTAGAAAGTGTTATATAGTAGTGCACTTTAGTATGTACTATAGTATATCAGATGCACATTGTAAAAGTGCATTTCATTTTATAAGAACATGACAAATGTAAAACTTTAGAAAGTGTGATATAATAGTGCACTTTCGTGTACATTAAAACGCACAAGATAGTTGTTTGGTTTCCACCCTTGTATATTTATATTCATTTTATTTTTAATTAAAGTCATTTTTGTTTCAAATATGTTTGGAAATGCGCGAGTACATGGATAAACCGTAAATGTTATAGAAAATGTAAGAAAATCATAGAGAAATGCAATTTATAATTGTGTAAAATAACATAATTAACATTTTATTTACTTTATATTCATTAAATTAAAGAATGGATTCACTAATGTAAACTACTAAAAGTGAAAAGGTCTTCAAACATGATTATATATTTATATTAATTTTTATTTAAATCTTGTATAGATGTGCACAACTGCACAGTTATAGTGCATGCTAATTTTATAAAAAGTGCAAATTAAACATTTCATTTAATGCAAAAGATATTTAAAGTGAAAAATACTTCACCGATAAGTGCATGTTCTTAAACCTTGAAATGCACTTAGTTTTTTATGCACACTCCAATTATATATACTACACAATACTCATGATCATTACATTATGCACATGCACTTTACTTAACATGCTATTTATACCTATTTTGACTGAATTTTTGTTCAATATTAATTTCTGAAAATTCGTAATTTAAAAACCAAACATTAAAAGCATTTAATGTTGAGATACGTGGACTACTAAGTTTTAAAAAGTATTTGAAAAACTTTTTAAAACAATAAATGGTCACAGTCATTACATGGTAATTGATTTGCTAAATAATAGGAAAGAGCCGGTATGCACCTAACGTGGAAAACAGTTTTGAGTATGATTAGACAATCATACCCTTGATGTCAATTAATATTAGACTTTTCCTTCCGAATCCACTAAATTAGCCGAATAATGGGGCTAATAAATTACGATCATCTTTTTTTTTGTCCATTAGATCAATCATATCAATGGTTATATTTTGTTCTCATTTCTCTCCTGGGACATCATTCTCACAGGAACCATCTTTATATATATATATATATATATATATATATATATATAGAGAGAGAGAGAGAGAGAGAGAGAGTAGTGTTCCGGTCAGGCCTTCCTGACCGGAACCGTCGTCCGGCCGACGGCTTTTGGGGCCCTTTCCCAGTGGATTTTTTGATGAAATTTTTATGGCATGTTCTTCATCAAGTCTAGTTTATCCACAAAAACATTCAGCTAAAAACTCAATCCGGAAGGTCGTCAAATGATTTTTTGAAGTTAACTGCGCAAATATATATATATAAAACACAGTTAACTTCCAAAAATCATTTGACGACCTTCCGGATTGAATTTTTAGCTGATTGTTTTGTGGATAAACTAGACTTGGTGAAGAACATGCCATAAAAATTTCATCGAAAAAGACACCGGGAAGGGCCCCAAACGCCGTCGGCCGGACGGCAGTTCTGGTTCAGAATTCCGGACCTGAACATTTGTCTATATATATATATATATATATATATATATATATATATATATATATATATATATATATATATATATATATATATATATATATATATATATATATATATAGGGAGCGGTTCCGGTAAGAACGGACTCCCATGAGAGAAACAAGAACTAATCTGGACCGTTGGATTGTATTATGTGGAACGGAAATATGCATTTGATGAAACTGAAATGTGTATTAGAAGATATTGAAATGTGCAGAATAAAAATTTAAACTCAATTGTGTGTTAGGTGAAACTGAAATGTGCGGAATAAAATGTACAAAAATAACATCACATCGTACCTTTTATTCTGCACATTTCAGTTTCACCTAGTGCACATTTCAATTTCACCTAATGCACAATTCAGCTTCACATAATGACATTGTATCGTACGCTTTGTGTTGCACATTTCAATTTCACCGATGCACATTACCGTTTCATCTAATGCACATTGAATTTCACTTAAATCAAATCTACGGTCCATATTCGTTCTCATTTCTCTCCTAAGATCATGTTTTTATTTGAACCAAACCTATATATATATATATATATATATATGTGTGTGTGTGTGTGTGTGTGCAGGGCCGGCCCTGGTGGTGTGCAGGGTGTCCAACCGCACAGGGCCCAAAAAATTGGAAGGGCCCGATTTTTTTTGTAGTAGTATACTACTACCTCTATCCCGCTATGATTGTCTCATTTTACCTTATCGATCCGTCCCATTAAGTTTGTCTCATATCAAATTTGGTAAAGTTTGTGTGGCTCTAAATCATTCTTACTTTATTCTTACTTTATCAATTCAATATCAACCACATAAACCACTTTTGATTAATTTGTGTGTCACTCCCTCTTATCCCAATGTTAGCGGGACGGAGGGAGTAGTATTACTTAGGTGGACTAGGGCAAGGCTTCGAAGCAGGCCTGGTTCGTCACTTCGCGTATTCCTCATCTGCAAAGGAGAAGCGTGTATATAGGAATGAAGGAGTAGTAAATCCTCCGTTACACCAGTGTGGGAATCTTAAGCTTTAGAAACAAAAAAGAAAAGAAGCGAGACATGCAGGATTTGAACCCAGGTGAAAATAAAAGCATGCACGCTGATTTCTAAACATCAACCACCGGACCAAATCAACTAATTGTTGAAATATGGACGCACAAGTTTTATATTACCTATTTGTTCTACAAAATAAATAATTAAAATACTTCTTAATAAAAATCGGTTCGGTTCGGTTTGAACCGATTTTATAACTCAAAAAACCTTCATTAAACCGATTTATGTTCGAGTCCTGACTTTCGGGTCCCGTTTGAGTCGGTGCGGTTTCGGTTCGGTTTTTTTAACTTGTGTTGAAACTTTGAAAAGAAGGCCCAATTATTTTTTTTGCACAGGGCCTTCATTTCCTCAGGACTGGCCCTGCGTGTGTATCCATTCGTGATTGTCTATATAAAATCTAACTCCACAATTTATGCTTATCTATATTATATATGGAGTCCTGATATCACATATGCTGAGATTAGTAAAGAGAGATAATATAGAATAAACACTTCAACTTCTACATGGAGCTTATTTAGGAACTTTAAAGTACAACCAATTTCAAGTTTAGACACATTTATTATTCATAAAAGGTGGAATGGCGCTCATAATACTTACAAATATCGAGTATGTGAAAAGTAGTAAAAGCTGGTGTATCGAACAACAATCATAATTACCACTAAATAATAAGCAGTATGTGAGATAGTAATATGATGCATAGTACTAGTTATTATAATATTCATTAGACAAGATAAATTTAGGACAAAGTATACTTTTTGTAATTTTATATTAATTAGTGTATCTCTATAAATTATATACTTGTACTCTAATATAATTCTATATCATGTTTTAATTTTTATACAATATGTCTGTATCCGTGAAATAATGTTTACACATGAAATGAATTATTTCCAAAAATAAATTAATTTCATTAGTTATCCATGCAACACACGGGTTGATTGGCTAGTTTAATTCATTTTAAAAGTATCTTTTAGTCGTTTAACACCGGCCATTCATATATGCCCAAATGGATGATGTTTGAATGATTCTCCTTTTACTTTGTTATACGTCTTGTTTAGCTCAAACATAAATGATCACTCCTAAAGTGCCAAACCTAAACACCAATAATGTGGCACATCATTTAGTTCTTGGACCAAAAAAATCATAGAGAGAAGTCGCCAATACCTAATACGTAGTACGAACTAATAATAGGTATCTATCTATTATTCGATTAAATAGGTAGGCATGTAAAAAAAATGACTCGCAAGGTCCCACCCTGGCCGAGATATTTGGGGCGGATCCGGGCCTCCGTCTTTCAAATGAGGCAGGTTCGCTCCACCCCGCCCACACAATGGGGCGAGTCCGGATATTAGTATTGATTTGTGTCACACTGACCGACCCTACTCAATATATTAGTATATTCAAGTATATATTTTAAAAAATTATACAACAAATATACATATGCGTACGTATGTGTGTGTAATAATTAATAAAAGAAAAAACGTGTTTTATAATATATTAATATTTATATTTGAAGAGTTGAGCGGGTAAATGTCAATGTCATTTCTATATTTAGCATTTTACATGTTCAATTATTAATATAAATGGATTAAATATTCAAGTCTGGGTACTTTTTTTTAATTTCTGACATTTTAGCATATTGTGACTTTGATTTCATATATTGATTTTTATAATTATTTGGAGATAACCTTTATGTAAATTCAAGTGGTAACGACTTCACACAAATAAAAATGCATACTAATTAATTAGGTTACGACGGGGCTGGCGGGTCATGGGTCAATAATAGTTGACCCGTGCGGGTCACGGGGCGGGGCGAGTTCACACAGTAAAGAGAAGGATATCATTGTGAACTAATTATTGAGATTGGAATTGGAAAGAATTTGCAAAAAACTTATTAAAGCGCTTTTCACCTTTTAGCTTAAAAAAATAAAATGATTGTTCTCAAGTGATAACTTCTACTTGAATTGACACTTAAAAGCTAGAAGTTGAAAACAGGTGAAGAGTGCTTTAAACTATTCTTCACTTTTTCTATTACACATAATGTTTTTTATCAAACATTACTAACTTTTATTTTTTCAAAATTACATTGTTTTCAAAAATTACCAATGTTTATGAGAAAAAATGTCATGTATATTACTAATAGAGTTTCCCCAGACAAAAATGTGACTAGTTATGTTTTTTGGACAATAATATGACAAGTCCATGATGAGTCCTTGGGAATGAACTAGTCACTGAATATGTCATTTTTTTGGAAATTTTTAAAATAAGTCATATTTTTGTCGTTTGAATTTTTTTTTTAACAAAAAAAAACCAAATTTTATTAAAAAGATTGAAAGCAATACAAGCGCTAATGAAAGAAGAAAGTTAAAGCAAAAAAGAATAAACTAAGTTAAGGAAAGCAAACTAAGCTAAAGATTAAGCTTTCAAGCGCAATGGTGATCTAGTTTGCATAGAGGAAGCCTGAATAGCTAGTTTTTTCTTGTTACGTCGAGAAATAACTGGAATGAAAGAACAATCTTCATTGACCTCACTTAAATCATTTTGTTCAACTAAAGCTGGAGAAGTCACTGAAACCGTTGATGAAGAAAGAGCAACACTCTGAGGTGAAGTCTGAGGTTTCATCCTTTTGTCTAAACTTATCTTATCTGCCTTGAATTGTGTGATAAGATCTTGGAGAGTTCTTACCCACAACCTTGAATTGTATGATAGGAAATAATAGCTGACTTAGAGTTCTTACCCACAACCTTCCGCTTGGGAAAAATATATTTATTCTCCTTCACGTTCGTCTTGGAGCATGTAGCTTGTTCCCTCGATACATCACAAGAAGAAATCAAATCAGTCGATGAAGACATATCCATAGTGATTGTAGAAGGAGAAAAACCTTGAATATCCGCCGGAAATAGAATCCCAGAGATCGAAAAATCATTATTATTACCCACCATATCAAGATCCGACATCAAATCCGGTACAAATTCCATTGGCTCTAAAAAAACCTTTCAACAAATTAACGACTCTCAATAATCCTGCCAAGAAATCCCTGAAACCTGATCCATTTCTTCCTTCAGGAACAAAAATAGAGTCTATCCCTTTATCAATGATCCAAATAAAACCACCATAAGAATTTGAGTCGAAGAGAATTATAAAGTTGCCCAACTCGAATCTAGAATTCACCCAATAATTCAAGTAAATTTTAAGAATAGAATCTCTCAGCCATAGTAAATTATCCGGATCAAACACAATTGAAGAAATAAATCCCGATTTGACCTCGGAAATACGAACATATTTGTCAAAGCAATCAAAAAGATTTTTTTTTTGCTTTCAATAGTAAGGCCAAACTCTGAAAAAGGATTCCAGCCTGCAATTTCCACCTCCAGATGCTTCATATCAGTTTGCTTCCTGCTAGTTGAGCTTTGTTGCAGGTATGAAGACTTGCAATAGCCCTGTGAGCATGAATCTGTTCGCCCTTTTGGCCAAGAACTCCAGTCTGGCTTGCGAGCTCCAAACAGAGAACTGAGATGTCTCTGTCCAACAGCATCGCCCCTGAGGAGTGGTCGTCTACTCCTCACGCTGTGCTGCAATGGATACCGCCTTGCCTGATCATCTAAGCCGGGGTCTCCTCTGTATCTTGTCTCCCATCGCCATGGAGTATTCTCCCCTTGCCCAAGAGGATGACAACCCCATCTCCGGTCGCTGAGGATTGCGTACCCCTTTCCATTCTTCGATGTCCCCTCCAAGCTATCAGATCGGTCGCGCCTTCGCAGAAATCGCGAGGGTCTCCAAGTCAAGCGATCGATCGGGGGTCGCCAATCCCTAAACCCCTGAAACCCCTGAGCCACCATCCCCCCCGGATCTCAGATCGATCGTTCTCCTCTCAACATCATCATTCAACTTCCTTAACTCCCTTTGAATTTAATTTATTACTAACATCATGGGAAAAAACCTTTTTACTACTCCTTTCGTCTTATATTACCTGTCTTACCTTTCATTTTGGGTTGTCCCAAATAAGTGTCACAATTCCTTTTTTAAAAGAAGTATGTGATCTACAACATTTAATTTTATTATACTCAAAAATCGTAATTTTACTTTTTCAACCTCTTTATTGGTAATTGTGTCAAACAAACATATGACACATAAAATGGGACGGAGATAGTACTAAACAATTTCTCCAAAATCACTTAAAATAGAAACAAATTCACTTTCTAAAGTAAAAACAAATGCAAACACTCCTTAAGTTGGGCCGGTATGAGTCGTTACACTACTTTTTAGCGCAAATTTTACTGTGATTATACCATGTGTATGGTCATTAGACAAATTTCTCACTCATCTACTTTCTCATTCAATTGATTTTTATTTTTTTTCTTGTCATCTTCAATTATATTTTTCCCCTTTATCAAAATATTAAGAATATAGCCATGGTTTTATTTGTCATCATCTTCGGATTAAATTAGGAATAAATCAATGTTTTTCTTCTATATGAATTCAAAACTACAGCTTTATTAATCTAAATCATTTGTGTAGTTGTAAGTGAAAACCCTCAACTTATTCTTGAAGCTCTACTTTTTTCCCAATTCATATTTTGAAATTCAACAAAGCTCATTGGGTTCATATCTTACATAAAAGCACACTACACTTGCATATTTGACATATGTGATTTACATTTTGTATAACATGACTCACACATTTAGCACACGCAGCCTAGAGTTTGTATAACATGACTTACATATTAGACACACGCAATTCACATTTTGTATAATGTGACTTACATACTTGAACATATACACAATTTAGTTTTGTATAAGTCATTTACACAATTACACCATACATTTCATTTTTGTATCAATAAATAAAATTATACTTATAAGTTAATTACACATTTTTAAAGTATTGAAAATATCATTTACACTATAATGTTTCGCATTTACATCAAATATGAATTATTTATACCGAAACATCTTATACATTGTTTATACACATTTACATCTTGTATAACAACATTTACATAAAAATATAGCATGAGTTATACAAAAGTATAATCTCAGTTGCACACAAGCATAATCTGAGTTATACCAAACACTTATATACAAGAAGTTATATACTATACTTGCACCACTCCTGAATCACTGATCCCATGATATAACAATTGGCTTTTAGATGTTCGCTGTGTTCTTGAAAAACAAAGAAAATTAATTAAAATAGCCAAAGAAAAACAGAAAAGAGATAGAACAGAAAATAGTCAAGGCTTGTGCAACACACAATGTCCTTAAAATGTATTCGTTGCCTCCCACGGTGCTAAAAGCGTTGCAACGATCTTTTCTCAGGATACGATGACTACGAACAATCGTCGAGCACACACAGGGCCGGTTATGGGGCATGGGCAAGGGGGCGTGCGCCCAGAGCCCATTGCTCCTGTAGGGCCCATAAATTTACCAGTTATACATATACGTTATATATCTATAAAATTTTAAAAATAAAATAAAATTTATAATTTTTATACTTCCAATTCATTAATTATTCAACAATATCTAGATGCTACAAGTCTAAAATTTTGAAACATCTGCACCAAAATTTATTTGGAACAGACTTCACAATTCTACTCATTCATAAAGTGTTAGTGCATAAATGTTAATCTCTTCATCCCCTTCTCTCGTGTAAACCATGATTCATTCATAGCAATTTACTAATTTTCTTTGATTCTCTCATTTAAGTGAAATATTAAATTACAGTATAAAATAATTAGAAATTTGTAGTTTATTTTAGTCTAGTCATGAAATTAATGTGATTTGAAATATAAAAAACATTACTTCATATGTCATGTAGCATTCATGTCTTTGCCTAACTCAATTTTTTTATTGCAAGTAACTATGCTACTATTTTTTCATTTGATCAGTTTAGGTATATAGATAGTATTCTCGAATGTACGTAACTTATCAAATACTTAAATATAATCTTTCTAACCGTCTCATTTATTAATTTCTTTGTTGTGTTACATTCGTATATATATGACAAAATTCCTTAACTTTAATTATAGTTTTTATAAGAAAAATAAACATTCGCATGTTCTTAAAGGCCTACTCTATCTGTATTGTCCCGGGTCCATAAAATGTCAGGACCGGGCCTGAGCACACAACAGATTGTTCCGGCGAACGAAAACAAGGACCGAACACTCAAGAATTTTTCAAAGAGAAGTGGAGGTGTTTTTAGCTCTAAAACGACGTGAGGAATGTGTATGAACGTGTAAATCCTATCTTTGAAAGATAGGTTTTTACACGACATTTGTGTCCGTGGGTTGCCCGCGCACGCAAGTTGCGGTTTTTCTTCTCCGTTCCCGGGACTTGAGCCTTTCCTACTAAGAATCTTAACTCCTTCAAAGAGGGTTCCCTTTATAAGGAGCTGAAAATCCATTGGGTTTTCTGGTGTGGGATACTGGGATATATCACACTAGAAACCCATCATTTTCCTAATTTTCTCCATTCTAATGAGTGAACTTCGAGAAACAATTTATCATTCACCCGTTATTCATTTTGAGTGTACCATATATCGAATTGTAGCTCTTAACAAGGGGAATCCGAAACCACTTTGACCTGACCCAAAATGGAAGTGGACCCCACTCAAAATATTGCCCCAAATTGACCATTTAATGCAATTTCAACACATTTTTCCAACAATCCCCCACAAGAATGAAAATTGATTTTCAAGACTTGAAAAAGACACGAAGATAGGAGGACACGATTGTGTTCACCGGATGATCCCTGCATACGGAGAGGTAAGTTTTATCCTTTGAACCTTCTGCTGTAAAGACACGTTTATTTACTAGCTGTCTAGTGGACTCGATGTCCTTGAACTATACTATCATCGTGTAAACATTGACTTATCTTTACACAGGAAGCTTCCAACTTTGTTCCGTTCTCATGGGTGTGCCCATTTTGGCCATGGGTCACCGTCCTTGTTCTGCAAGAGTTTCTAAAGAAATGAGCCTATACGGTTCTCATTTTAAACGGCCCTCTTCTCTCTCACATAGGTGATTCTTTCACGAGTATCCCACATACTCTTCCGATGTTAACAATCAGATCAACATTTCAGAATCAATAAAGCAAACAATTTTGCTAACCTCGTGCGGGAGTCTCTGTTTCAACAAGGAGTGGGTAGGAGTCCAGGACCCCCACAATGACCATCCTTTGCTCTATAATTTAGTTGTCCCTTTTGAACCTAGGACCAACTAGGCTGGGTGTCCACTATAGAACTTTTCAATTCACGGGCTTTAGTCCCATTCCTCATGATAACTTCTCCAACAATTCTATATCCAATGCCTTAGTTAGTGGATCCGCCATGTTATCCTTTGACTTCACGTAGTCAACAGTGATAACAGCAGTTGTGAGGAGTTGTTTAATGGTGTTATGTCTACGACGAGCGTGTCTAGACTTACCATTATACATGTTGCTCTATACCCTTCCAATTGCCGCTTGACAATCACATTGTATGCATATTGCACGGACATGCTTTTCCCAACTTGGAATCCTCGAGAAAATAGCGTAGCCATTCACCCTCTTTAGTGCAGTTATCCAAGGCTATTAGCTCAGATTCCATCTTGGACTAGCTATTATCATTTGTTTCGAGGATTTCCATGACACGGCTGCACCTCCCAAAGTGAAAACATATCCACTTGTGGATTTTGAGTCCTTAATGTCAGATATCCAACTAGTGGATTTTGAGTACAGCTGGATATCTGGCATATTGTAGTCCAAGGTTTTGGGTTTTACGTAAGTACCTCAAAACCCTTATTAATGCTTTCCAGTGTTCATCATCGGGGTTACTCGTATATCTACTTAGCTTGCTAACCACAAAGGCAATATCAGGTCTGGTACAACTCATTTGGATAGGAGTACGTTTTTATCTAATGACACCCTTGCCTCTTGATAATCATCCTTATTAAACTTCATAAGGATTTTATCAACGTAATGGGATTGGCTTAGCACAAGACTGTCCGGTCCCCTAATTATTTTAATCCCAAGGATTAAATCGCCAGCCCCATGTCCTTCATGTCAAATTTAGAATTTAACATGTTTTTGGTAGAATTAATCATTAGATTATTGCTACCAACGATGAGTATATCATCCACGTATAAACACACAATGACATAGCCGTCTACTGTGCTTTTCACATACACGCATTTGGCACTTTCGTTTAATTTAAAAACATTAATTAACATTGCATGATCAAATTTTTCGCGCCACTGCTTAGGGGCTTGTTTCCATCCATACAATAATTTAATTAATTTACACACTTTCCTTTCTTGGTTAGGAACACGAAATCCCTCAGGTTGTTCCATATAGATTTCTCCGTCTATATCGCCGTTCAGAAAAACGGTTTTTACGTTCATTTGATGAACTTCCAATTTTCGCAATGCGACAATGGCTAGTATCATCCAAATGGAGTTTATTCTCATTACAGTAGAATATGTGTCAAAGTTGTTAGAGATATTTTATGATTGTGATCCATGTATTTTATTAAGCCTTTTAGTAGATTCATTTAGATAGGCTTTTCTTAGAATAGGCTCATATGCCTAAAAGGGAATGGGCCTCCTAGGAAAAGGAGCCCAATCATATGTAAACCTATCCCATTCTCTAAAGGCTATATATATGCCATTTTGAGAATGGAATAGGTTAAACTTTTCATTCTTCCATATTCCCTGCGCATAGAGTAGCCTACGGAAGTTCTACGTTGATATTTTCTCCATCCTTGTGTAAACTTTTGGGAATCTATGGAAAGCTTCTTCTAAACCTATCCTTATCCATCTTCATACATTATTGTAGTGTAGAATATAGGGACCAACATTTGGTGTCAGAGCGGGACTGATCGAGCGATTGAAGCAGAGAAGAAGAAGCTCGCGCAAAACTTCATCGGCTGTTTTTCTTCT